ATGATGCTTTCACTCTCTAATTCAGTTAGATTTGGATTGAGATGGGAAGTTCTGATTAGAGAGCCAGTTTGAGTACGATAAATGGATACTAATGCGTCACGAATTCCACCTTCAATCATCAGCCAGTAACACTAAATGTCAGGAAATGTAGAGAAGTTAACTTTGAAATAATGGAGAATATTTGTAGCTCAGGTGGATGCTCTTGGTTGTATTGTGTTCTCTGAGCTGGGTTGTTTAATCGTGAAGCTTTCATCGTCTTTCTGGACGACATCATCGGAACTAACTTCAGTATGAAGTTCATACGATTAAACAACCCAGCTTACAGGACACAATACAACCAAAAAGTTAACTTTGAAAATTAAAAGATACAGTCGTTGATTGAACCTAACTGATAGATCTCTGTTGGCATAGAAGCTCCTATGAGGATGCCTAGATATTGCCTGTATTTTCACTTTTATAGTAATGATGGGTTCTGGGTAGCAGTGTAATCCAAACCGGCGTTCCTTCCTACTTGGGACTCGTCAGCTGGATGAATCTATATTCCGGTGAGTGATGTTGTTCCTACCAAGTGTCTAACTCGGGACCGATAACTTCAAATACTACAACGTTATCTGCTGAGCCACCAAGTCAATTCAACCACTTCTTGTGGGACGGGTATAGTTTTATATGATGTTGCTTACATTATCCCGTCGTTGAGCGAACCGAAGTAATTTGTCTCTAACCTATATTTCCCCATGTAATCCCTATGAATTATGAGGAAAATTTATCAAAGGTAGGATAATGATGGGAAGAGGATGTACTTTTCAAAGTTCAATTTTATATATATATATCGTCACATTAAACCTCTTTTCCTTTGGTAAATTCAACTCCCAATTAGTGTTCTATGTACTATTATTTTCGCCTTATTGATTTTCATTGTTGCTTTAGCCTTTAATTTAGCCTTCTTTTTTGACCTCTTTTCCTATCCACAATTCTTATCTCTTTGAAACGTTCTTTAATATAAATATATTTTGAGGGGGTTGTGGAGATTTGGAAATATTTCAAGTTGTTATTCATCGAAGACTGACATCAGCTGGAGGAACAAAGGAAACCTGGGAGCACTGGACAGCTGTTTCGTCCTAGTACCAGTGGCTCAGTGGCTCAGTGACCCAGTGGCTCAATGGTAACGCGCTGGTCGCGGAACCTGAAGGTCGCGGGTTCGATCCCTGCTGGTGGGTCGTGGGTGCGCACTGCTGAGGAGTCCCGTACTAGGACGAGACAGCTGTCCAGTGCTCCCAGGTTTCCTTTGTTCCTCCAACTGATGTCAGTCTTCGATGAATAACAACTTGAAATAAAAATATTTAAAAGTGGTATTCATCATAGACTGACATCAGTTGGGGAACCATTGAAAATCGTCATAGTATGGGACTCCTCAACAGTACGCAACCACGACCCGGCTAGGGGTCGGACTCAGGACCTTCAGGTTTCATGGAGAACGCGCCAACCATTCAGCCACTGGGTCGGTTTCCAGTGGTTCACAATTTCCAACTTCTGTCAATTCACAACATAGAGTGACTGTCACCCAAGGTCTTCAGTTAGCATCCACTTCACTTCTGACTGGTTGACCCCACAGGTCACGGCTTCTCAGTAGAACTTCCTGACATCCATCTAGAACCAAGTCACTAATGAGCACTATAGAGTAATGCATTTTCGAGATGAATGAGGGTTTTTAATTTAGAAGCAGTATTCATCATGGACTGAAATCAGTTGGGGAATCATTGAAAATCTGGGAGCACTGGACAGCTGTTTCGTCCTAATATGGGACTCCTCAGCAGTACGCAACCACAACCCGGCTAGGGGTCAGACCCAGGGCCTTCAGGTTTCGCGGCGAACGCGTTAACCATTCAGGCGTCCCATACTAGGACGAAACAGTTGTTCAGTGCTCCCAGATTTTCAATGGTTCCCCAACTGATGTCAGTCCATGATGAATACTACTTCTAAATTACAAATCCCTATTCATCTCGAAAATACATTATAAATATGTTTAAGAAGTACGTGGTTGATTGGATTGTTCAAAATGTGTCGTGTAGATACTGCACGTGATTCAGAAATGTCTGCTGGTTATATTGTCAAAGTTTATAAAGAGAAACAAGTGTTTTAAACATATATATTTTTGAAATGCATAAAATTCGCTTAAACTTCAAATCAAATTACTGTGTAATGCTAATTAGTGACATGCTTCCAGTTGGATATTCTAACGTGTTAGTGTGAACGCGTGACCGGCAGAGTCAATCAACCGGAACGGAAGCGGATGTCAACTGAAGACCTTGGGTGATTGTCGTGCTATATTGCGAATTGACAGAAGTTGGCAACTGCTAAACAGTTGGTGAATAATTCACGCGTTCGCCATGAAACTTTAGGGTTCCGAGTTCGATCCCCGAAGGGATCGTGGGTGTGTACCACTGACCAGTTGCATACTGAGAGGAAATAACTGTCCCGTACTCCTAGGCTTTCAATGGTTTCCCAATCCATGTCATTTCTTAATGATTGCTACTTTGAAATAAATAAAATCAGTATAAACCTCGAACTTTATGTAGGCTTTTTAATGAAATAGATTTTAGTTTATATGTACAATATAGGAAGGTGTTAGAATGATTTGTAACTCGATGAAAGATACGGGATTCCCACAAATAATCAGTTTACTAGTCTCATGGAGAAGAAAATGAAAGGAAAGAAAAGAAAAAACACTGAAAACAAATTGAATACTACTAAATTTGGTTACTTTTAAGTCAGTTAAATATGCAAGACTATATCTCAGCCAAAATTCTTATGACTGATTCCATGCTATGATAGCAGGCAACTGGAGCAGTTTATAATACTAGACACTAGTTAGTTGGGATGCTCAGCCATAATCTTTTGGTGTTAGATCGACAATCAGCGCATAAATTTCTAGTTGTTCACTTTTCATTCATTGTAGGATCTTATAAATGTCTTGCTGAAGTAAGGGATTTGTATCAGAGCATACCTTAAATACCATGAAAGATACGTTCTGCTGTAAATGAACAACAAACTGAATTTTTCCCTAAGTACAGTGACTACTCATTTACTTAGTTCTATCATTACTAGTCGTATGTTGGTGTACTGCAGAAAGTTTTTGTAATGATTCCAGATGCCTAGCGAGTAGGTTTAACTAAGCCAAAATGTCAGTGACTGTGACTGCCACTCTAGTAACTACTATATCATGAGAATGATCTTTGCAGGCGAGATGGTGTGGCTTTAAATACCATCCTAGCAAGTGCAAAATAACCAATCAGGTTTCGATATGTCATCTAAGAAAGTAAAATAACGAAGCCTAATTGGCTGTCTCAGCGGTTTGTGGAGTGGCCTTTAAAATCACCCCTAAGATAAAGAAACACAGAGCAACTTTAAAGGCCAGACTTCAACTGCCAAAATAACCAATCACGTTGCGGTATTTTCTCTTGGAAGACAATTTTTCATAGAACAAAGAAACGTGATTGATTGTTTTACCAGTTGCTACGATGGCCTCTAAAGACACTGAAAACATTAGTTAATGTAGTGGTTATTAGGGTAGGCTTGCAGTCTATACATTTTGTTTGCGGGACAAATTGATTTCGAATTGCATTCGGTGTGGATTTTTACCATATTCTTACTGGTGGTCATGACTGTCTGTAAAAGCCCCTCTAGTAACCGCCAAACTGACTAATCACACTTCGTTATTTTATGAAAATCCGACTTTACAGCTTAAATGAAGAAAAACTAATTGGTTATTTCGGGCTACCTTGATGACCGTCCTGACATTCACCAAAATAACCAATCAAGTCGCGGTATTTTGATTAAGAAGACAATTTTTCTTAGAATACAGAAACGTGATTGGTTGTTTCATTAGTTGCTACAGTGGCCTTTAAAGTCACTCAAAATAACCAGTGACTAAAAGCCACCTTAACAACAACAGAAATAGTCGATTAGGTTTCTTAATTTAGGCTGGAAAGTCAGATTTTCATAAAGTAGAGACATCTAATTGGTTATTCCAGTTGTTTCTAGGTTGGGATTTAGAGTAAATTGATGAATGTTGACTAGGAAGTTAGTTTCTCACGGCATAAATCTGATTAGTTGTCTCAGCAGTTGTTTGGGTAGTCATTAAAATCGTGCGGTCGGTGCCATCATGGCGCATACCACAATTGTGGTGCCTATCCTTCTCAATCTTTCTGATGCCTCTCCTGTAAACAGAGGTATTTTCTATTATGTAAGTGAGGTTTATTGAACTGTTTTGCTCCCGGATGGGAGTGTTTGGAATCATAACCTTTTCTGTCATGCATGGGTACAATGATTCTAGATGTAACTCTATAGGGCATCATGACTACTAAAAAGGTCAATCAAGTTTATTTAAACACTATCTTTCTAGTCAAAATCAAGAAACCTGATTGGTCATTTTAGTGGTTGCTAGGATGCCATTAGATTTACACTGATCCTAGGCCTAGGTTATTTGATTTTATTTACTTGGTGGCGGCTAGCAGTGGCGTGCACGACGCACGTTTCTTCTTGTTTAGAACTCATCAGCTGTATTTACGTGCTCCCACTGTAACTTGAGGCCCATATGCCAACATAGATTGACCATTTTGATCCAGTAGAACAGCTGGGAATTAAAAGTATCAACAAATATTAGTTAGTATGTATTACAAATACCAGTTGCAAAGAAATAGATGAAACGAAGTGTGTCCACACTCTGCCTTTCAAATCAATCTATGTCTTCCTTTCACAACTGGATATTTATCCTTAATATTTATGGTGCTGTAAGGCTTTTTTTACATCGTGTAGGCTGTTTCTCTTCAACTAGGCCTTGGTATTACCTTTTGCATTGAACAATGATCAATACGTGAAATATAATAATAGCTGATTAACTAGTAGCCCAAAAATGTTTCGCCTACTCGATTTGAACATAATACAATATCATTAATTTTATAATCAAGTGCACAGAGTAATGATATGTTTTCTAATTACAGTTCTTCAATTTGGATTCATTACTATTTTTGTGGCTGCTTTCCCCTTGGCTCCATTCTTCGCCTTGCTTAATAATTGGATTGAAATTCGTCTAGATGCTAAGAAATTAGTTTGTGAAACACGTAGACCATTGGCAGAACGAGCACAGAATATCGGTGTTTGGTTTAGAATATTAGATTTTTTGGTTCGTTTGGCTGTTATTTCGAATGTAAGTAAACCTTTCATATTACGGACTGTCCTTTATATAATTTCCAATTTCTGTTCAACATAATTTCCGTTGGAAACTATCCGGCTAAAATCACAAGCTGTGATCTCTGACATGAAAATGTTATGAATTAACGAAATATAATGATGAGCATCTTGAATATTTAAAAACGATTGTGGCTGATCCATGGAGATGACAAAACGGAAAACATCAGCAAAGACCGTGGTATATATGCCAATCATTTGCAAACTGACCATCCTATTTAAAATATACCAGTCTAAACAAGTTAGCTAGCTAGATTTGAGCTATCCGAACGCTTCATTTCTGCGACCTTAATTCTCTCACCAAAAAAAATAAATGGTAGTCCAATGTTTTAATCACTGAACTGGCTGGTAAAATCTACAGATCAGATCGGTGGTTTACTACTACTGAAGTTCTTCAGTAGTATGTGTGTAATCAGTAGAGTTTTTATGAAAACAGTTCGACATAATTTCATCGTTTCCCTAGAAATAGTAAAAAGCAGCTACTGCAGAATTATTAAGTATCACTCAATCATATGATAGGCGAAATTTTCTCTTTGTCAAGTAAAATCGAAAAAATCTAGTCAGCAATTCCCTATCACAACTCAGTTAATGAAACACTCCACAGGTAATGATCAAAACTTACAGTTTCATTTCCATCGAGATCCACACTCTATGCTTCCACTTTCACTCATTATTCCCAGCACACATTGACCAGTCTGTAAACGAAAACTATCTGAGATAATTTGATTAACAAAACATTTATCACTGCTCAATCATACGCTTATGGTAAAATAATATAAGCAGTTTCAAGAATCAAACGGTTTTTCAGTCCTATGAAGATCAACAATACGAAGCTGCACAAAGTGCGAAGTTGAATTTGATCAGATATTGTATTAGAAACTACAGTGAAATGGATAAAGGCACTGCAATTGGTTATCAATGACACCGCCAAAGTACTTTCATTTTCTTTATGTCAGAGTGGTTCACTGATTCCGACAAACGGAACCTGAGTACGAGAGTCAGTGGGCGTAGAAATAGGGACAGACAAGTGTCTTCATTTAGTCCAGCTACTTAGCACAATACCTCAAGACTGGAGTGACAATTATACCTTTTTATCGAAGGTACCGGATTAGTTGTTCACAGACCACCAGTCACAGTAGTTGTGTTGTAATTTGGTTTTCATCTTTATCCTACTCCTTCGTACTTTAAAACTTTCTGGGGCTTCGTTCAGTTGGTTTAGGGAAACGACTAACAAACATAAAAGCATGAGTTCGAACCTAGACCCACCTACTGGACTTTGGGCAGGCAGGTAGGATGAATAGCCATTACACAATAGGTGCACCTCATTGCCTACTGTTTGCAATTTTCATATAACCGATAAAGGTTTTGATTGACTATGTTTCAGCAGCTTTTAAAAAGTCTTAACATAGACAACATAGTAAACACTTAATAAATCATGTAGTATATTAGTTACATTGGCAAACTCATGCTGGTACTGAACAGAACAAGACGCTTACTATCCATGTATATTTAACAGTTTTGTTAATTTCCACTTACTTTCTAAAAGTTCACTTGTTCAGTTTTGTAGCTGAAGAAGTAGGTAATATAATTCCCAATTTCCTCGCTTCTTTGAACCAAAATCGATTAGCAGCTTTGTGCATTATCTCGCGAAATATGTACGCATACATTTTTCAGCTTGGCTGACAAAAGCAGTAGGAAGGTGCATTTTCAACTTTTTAACAGAAAGTTTAGTAACTTCGGATAGTTAGCTCCTTTTGATAAATCCATCACAACCAAGCCTCTATACTTCTCACCACAGCTGTCACAATATTCATCTCTTTGTTATTACCATCTCTCTGTTAACAAAATCTCAAATGATGTCTGCCAACCAGTCTTGCAAAAAATCGGTTTATTACCACCGATCATTTTCAGAATGATAATTCCTTAAAAAGTTTGTACAGTTAATCAAACTTTTATTATGGCGATTCGGTTGGTTATGGCCAGCAGAAGAGTCCGGGATGCTCGATTTTCCCATTTGGGACTCGTCACCTGGATGTACCTTCATCCTAGTGAGTGATGTTGTTCCCACTGATACTCAAACCTCATACTTATCGCTCCGAAAGACAACGCTTTATCCACCATAACACGGAGGAACGATGGGCACTTCTTATACAATGGGTAGTAGTTATTACTATTTATTCGCATACTTGTTATTCTCCGTTGTTTTGTTGGATCGAATTGTTCGACCTCGGAGAATAACAAGTATGTGAATAAATGGTAATAACTACTAACCATTGTACAAAAAGTGGCTGTCGTTACTCCGTGTCATAGTGAATAACACCTAGACGTTTGAAGCGATGGGTACGAGGTCCGAGTCTCAGTGGGGACAAAATCACTCACCGGGGTGGAGGTACATCCAGGTGATGAGTCCCAAATAGGACGAAACGCGCATCAAGGATTCTTCTGCTAGCTAACCGAATTACCATAATGAACGTTCAGCCAATATCAAGGTATCCGCATAGGAGCCCATATGCCAATAGAGGTTGAACAATTCGATACAACTAAACAACGGAGAATAACAAATATGTCAATAAATAGTAACAAGGTTTTATTTATTCAAACAAACCATCTTCTTCATATTTTTGTCATAATTTTCTAACAGTTGAGTATTTTTAAATCAAGATAGTAAATTTTTTTGTCATAGGCCTTCATCATTGCGTTCAGATCAAGTTTCCTTCCAGAACTCATGTATAAATATGAAGTGAGAAGTGATCTTGTTGGATTTACCAACTTTACTCTAGCATGGGCTCCTGAAAATGCTACATCACAGCCATGCAGGTAAATTAATTCGTTTTTTTGTATTCAAAACAATTACAGATCACTTTAACATTAGGTTCACTTGAAATAAATTGTAGTTGAGTACAGCATTCTATTCAAGGGAGTTAGTTATTCAACCCTAATGAATAGTACTGCCAAGTCATGATTTATTACTAAAACTCTATGATTTTTCCTTTTTCAGTCTATGACATGGAATTGATCAGTATTGCGTTGATAGTTTCGACTTACTACATTGTCACGAAGATACCAGTTTGCATCACATTCCTGTGTTATTTTTATGATCATAGTTATCAGTGGAATACATATTACCCACCCATATCCTTCTGAACATATTTCTGACAGTCAAAACAATGCATAAATAGAAAATTGCATGCTTATATAGAAACTATTATTATATCAGTCATTTGACGAAACCTTTTAGATTTGCTCATGATAAGTATCTTAATAAACTAAGTTTGATCCAGCTATTCACGTGTGCTGAGGTAACTCTGACCGGTGATTTACATGGAAAATTCATCAATAACTTGTGATAAATTAGTTGATCAGTTGTATTTTAATTAGCCCTCTTAGTTGTGTTCCGTTCTCTAAGCTGGATGGTTTAATTGCGTACAAAGAGTTTTCCTCTTGTGGAAGTTTGCTTCCTGGAGAAGTTCTCTAATCTTTGAACAGCGTGAAGAGTGTTACATTCATGGGATTTTCAAATAGTGGAGAATATTTATTGCTAAGATGAATGATCCTAGTTGTGTTGAGTTCTTTGAGCTGCAAAGAGAATGTAACAAAATGAAAATCGTTCACTTGAGGAACAATTATTTTCTACTATTTAACCTTCTATCAACTCTTGAAGAGTACCAAGCAGTCTTTATTCAGTAGTTCTGGAAGAAAATCTATTTTCTTTATTCTTCAACGCGACTTCGTATCAATTTCCACTTTTTCCAGTAGTCATGAAAAATTGATTAAAGTAGTCAGTTACTTCATCAGTTTAAGATGGTACAAAATAAGATTGATTATCACTTTAGAACTTATTCATTACGTCATAATTGAATTTTATTAATTTTGTATTAAAGGAACAACTGTAGGTATTCTATCAGAATTTACAAAAGCAAATGGCTAGTCGGATGTAATACATCTGAATACTACATTGTATTAAAATACCTTGAAAATTATAGCTCGTTCTCACGGAAACTATATCTGATCCTGGTCTTTCTTCAGTTGTTAGTGAAACTAGAAACAAGAGAAAAAATATGTACTAGACTTGAATAGAAAAGCATAATGTGTTTTGAAGCTAACTAATATAATTTACAGACCGATCACTAAAAATACACCGTTTATCTCTCACCAACTGTCTACTGCAGAGATGACAATATATTGGTTTGCGGCTAGTTTTTAGCCAGGAAATATATCAGATATTGTAAGTAACCCATAGCACCGTGTATTCCCCATCACATGCAATATTAAATAGGGGACTGTCGGTTTCGTAGATGATTAGACTACTACCCGATTTTAGTCTGTTCATTAAATATGTCAGTCACTGGATAGACGTTTTCATTAACTTTTTGCATCTGTTGAGATTCTAATTTTGCACTTTGAATTCTATGAACTTCTTTTACACAGAGTTTACTGACATGTCTTATTACTACTTTAACTTTGTTAAAATTGGAGCACGTAGATGTAAGTATTTAGGAATGATTTGATTTCTAAAACATTGAATATTGAATGTAAGATGATTTGTATATCTGCTTTCTGTCTGTCAAAGTCATATGAGTTTGTTGATGATTAGTCTTTGTGTAGGAGAACTATGTATTTCAGTAATCTAGGAGTAAACCTTAGTCACTGTGGTAAGTAATCAACAGATTGGAATGGAATTGTAATCTACTATAGTACGCAAGTTCTTCTCTTGTTTGTAATGATTAGGTTACTATTTGGTAGTAGTACTAGAACCCAGTGTTTCATGTTTTATAATCTCCATCAGATCACATTACAGATCAAATATGATTTGTAAGCATGCGTTATAGTTTTCAATGCTCCTTCAGTTGATTTCAGTTTATAAGGCAAAAGAATCTTAAGAAATCATGAGAAACTACTCAGAAAAATGTAAACTTAGTTTTTAATTTTTATCATGATCACTTCTTGTCCATATTCCAGTTTATGAGTGTTTGCATAACAAATTCGCTTCATTTATCAGCGTTAATTAGCTCACAGCTAAGTTTTGTAAATCTCACCTACCAGATGTTTATTAACAATTATACATTAAGAAGAAGATTTTAAAGTTCGGTGGAAAGTGATATCACTGCTAATGACCACAACTCTTAATGTAAGTATCATTCCATAACTGAGGATGTCCTGTTCTGTACAAGGTTTAACGTTGTCAATCAATCTTGAACCAAGTATACAGAAACAATAGGAATCAAGATGTTTTCAGGTTATTTCATGCTAAAATTCATTTTATACAACTTATACAGACAAGATGGTTATCTTTAGTCCAAAAGTCACTATTTTATTATTCAAATAAATCTCAACAACATACTGATCACACTATTATTTGTTTATTACATGAGAGTATTATATTTTATTAATGTGTAGGCAATATAACTAATGAACAGGGTAGATCACCCAGGTTTTTGAAAGTTCTTTTTCAATGTCTTAAATCAAGTTTATTTTGTTTTTGGTTATAGTCTTTGTGCATGACTATTATACAGAAAAAAGTGTTCTATAATTCAGTAATAAGATATCATCCAATTCATTCCATTTCGTAAAATGTCTTGAAGGTATGTCAAAGTACTGTAAAAGGAGTAAATATATATCATTTAAAGCATTAGATAATTAGGTTGAATGTTCTGAGACAAATCATATTTATTATCACTATAAAATTAATGTCTGGTGGTAATTACTGATAAACTTCAAGATGAGATATCCTGAAGCTGTAATTAGAAGTAGTTATCAGTAGAGCGAATCAAATCAGACGCGAGGACAAATATTCAACAATACTATTGGATGATGTTCAAGGTATATCATGAATTCACAGAAGTAGAAAAATGTGAACCACTAGATCACTACACAATAGCCTACTAGCTGCGAGACGTAGAGGTCCTTCGTAGGAGCTCTGAACAACCCATGACAGACTGAAACAGCTATCAAGGCCTTACAGATTTTCAGTAGTTTTAAAACTGATGGCAGTCCAAGATAATTATGAAATAAATAAATCTTCACATACCTGTAAATTGGATTCATAATTTTTGTATATACAATAGAATCTCCTACAGATAATACGCAATAATTCTACAGAAATAATCATGTGTAATGGTAAATACATATTAAACCTTTTTATTTAGTCAATTAACTATTGCATTTTGTATACTTTTGTAGATATAAAGCTTTCCGAGATAACACTGGGCAATATACAATGTTTTTCTGGAGATTGTTGGCGTTACGCTTAGCATTTGTGATTGTTTTTGAGGTAGATAATAAAAATTAATTTTTAGATAACTTGGGTAAATATTTTTGTTAATAGTGATTAGGTCAACTTAGATTCGGTTGTCTTGATGAAACCTCATAGAATAAACACTTAAATGTTTACAAGTGAACAATTCGGTTAGTACATCAGAATATCAGTTGTGATCAATGAACAGAGAGAGAGAGAGAGAAAACTACAACAAATGAAACAAACTCTTTCTCAATAGTGTCTGCTAATAAACTCATAAAACTTTAGACCTTAAAATTACAGATTTCAAAGTCTATATATGTCTTCATCAAACCCTTGAGTCAATCTTATGATAAACAACTTTATTGACTATATATTAGACTAAAAAGAATACCTAACCAAAACTATCTCAGTAAGAGATGAGAAATTCTCTACAAATACAAGAAACAAAGTTAGTTGTTTAACCTTTCTAGTTGTAGATGAAAATTGATTTGTAGAAATTGGTTAAAAGATTAAAGAGAACGCTTGCATAGTCGTATCGAAGGAAACTCTATAAATAACCCAAGTAATAATGTTGATTTTTAAGGTAGTGTAATCTCAAACCATTAATTGTATTACTTGATTCTATCTCTAGGGTTGGTTCTGCTCCATAAACTGTCTACAGTTTACTCTGATCTTTCATTAAAATTTGCCAATAAACATAGTTTTGTTATCTAATAGTCTAATTTCACAACTATGGCTGTTTTTGTTATCATCAATTTTCTGCGTATATTTCCTTCATATAAATATAAGACGTGAAAGCTGAAAAGAGTTGAACAAAATAACCATACTGGAGCTGTGACTTATTGGTTTATGGAGTTGACTTTCAATCAATCGGTCATAAGTTCAAAAACCACACCACCTATAGAGATTTAAGCAGTCAGGTATCAAGTATCATTAGGTGTCACAAAAAAAGTGTAACTCACTGCCTACTGCACTAATGTGCACAAGGTATTTCGATTTTTTTCTTCAGGTTATCTCAGATTTAACATACTTCAAAGTTAGAGTAATTTTCACTGAGGACTGACACTGAAATCAATAAACACCAGTTAAGTACTTCCCAGGCTTTTAACGATTTCCACTGAAGTATAATTCCCTATAAATTAGCAAATGAATACTTCAGTTTACCAAGAAAAAATCAGAACAAGAATAAGTTGAGCAAACAATTGTTTTCAATAACTTCTCCTTTAAGCTCTACAGTTATAAATCCATGAGAATGAGTGAAATACAATAGCCGAAATAAGGTATGCTATGCAATTTTATTATATTGAAACAGTCAGTGTTATGGGGGAATAAAGATCAAATCGAATCGAATGGTGGAACTGTTATCAGTCTGGTGTGTGTAATGTGCAATGAAATCAACATTGACAGAACAATTACGAAATGAGGAGACAAAATCTACAAATGATGATTCATTTACATATATTTTCATTTGACTATTTAAGATAGTCGTAGTTTGGCAGACTAGTATTTGTACTGGGTGATGATTGAAGGTGAGATGAAAATCTTGACTGTGGCCGGATTGGAACCAGAGACCACAGGGTTTATTGAGGTATGAATGTGTGCGTGTGTTTGCTTATTAAGAGTCAAACAATAATTATGTAGTGATGAGTGGTGAAAATCATGTGGATACTATAACGAAATAGAGAATAACAAATATGAGGCATTACGTCCCAGCTGAAAATGACTATTGGTTGTGGTATGAATAAGGAAGGGCATGAAACTTATGATATAAAGAAATGAATATTCGTCGAAGTAATGACAATATAGAAGGGAATGGGAGGTTGAAATGTGGAATTTGGGGAAGGAATGTTCACAAAGAACGTGTCGATCCTGTTGTGAGCCAAGGTAAACAAAGTGTATGTACATATTTCTTTTGAACCGCTAGGTTTGGTTTTATTGCGCTGATTCCTATGGCTTTGGCTACGGATAAAATGCGAAGTGGTGCACCTTTAGGGAGATCGCAGGGGACATGGTATATCACAGAAAAGGCGTGATCTACCCTAATCTGATGTCCGGTATCCACTAGATATGAGATGATTGTACTGTTGATGTTCTTTGTCACAACTGTAATGCCTGAAGATGTTATTGAAAACAATTATTCGCTCAACTTATTCTGTTTTGAATACGAAGTCAGTCGTTGGATAAATTCTGAATGAACTGTCGTGGTACAGTTGAAAGTTACACCAGTAGAATTTAAGTAGGCGAACAACGTTAATGTTTTACGTATACTTGGGTTATTGAGAATATTTATTTAACGGCACATTTGATCATGGAGTACTAACAGTTAAGTAACTTCAAATCTTATTTCTGGTGATTTGCTGAAATTGGTTTCGAATAATTTTTTAAAAGATATCAGTCCACCGTGAATACCAACTGGAAATCAATAAAATCCTGACAAATACTTGAATTCAGCTCATTAGTGACAACCTTTGAGATGGGTTGGATCTCTGACGAGGTCACGAGTACGTACTGTTGGTGAGCCCAAGATTGACCGAGATAACCATTGAGTGCTTTCAGATTATTAGTGGTTGTATAACTCATGTCAGTTTGTGAAGTAAGGGATGAGTATTTTCTACATGTCAACCAAATTATGAAGCTTTTTTTAAAATTACACTTTTGTTGATGATCCTTTGTAATTTCTAATCATCTTTTGTTATGTTTGTAAGCATGTGGCATTTGTTTTGGCTGATGTACTGGACTTCTTCATCCCCGACGTACCAAGCAGTCTGAAAGAACGTATTCAGCGGGAACGATTCTTGGCCAAGCAAGCTCTTCTGGATATCAGCCTGGTAATATCCTTTAAGACGTTTAATATGGTATTTTATTATGATTTTGCTAACAGTTACGAATGGCTAATTCTTCAAACTGAACACCTTGTTGTTGTCAGTACTACTGATTCATGATCTCAGGAATCAGCAAAATCAAATGGATTATATTCTTAAAATGCATCTCACCGTTAAGAATAAACACACATTGGTTGTTTGTTAACTGTGTTTTAAATGTATATCAGCAGAAGTTTTAAGACTATTCACTAACATCTTGACATAACCTAATTGAAATCTAATGTAGAACTTTTCATGAAATACTGATTCCTGAGAAATTGAATGCTCATGAATTTGCTTTCCAAATGATATCTAAGCTAAATGCTCACGAAAACTGAATACAGACATCACTCAACTGGTAAAAACTAATTTTCACAGGTAGATCAAATAGAAGTTGATTACTTTTTGAATGGCTTTACTAGAAGTTTATAAAAACACGTTATTTAGTTACCTGATAGCTATTCACTAGTGGATAACTGTGTAATATCTTTCATCTGAGGTAATCAGGCATCATCTTTGTATCACACAATTCGAACGGTATGAAGATATCATAACTAGATATTCTCAAAAATTTGGAAAAGATAGACTTAATCTTATTGAAAACAGATATTGGTTAGCCAGTAATTTAAGGAGTTTAGTTTCTCTACTAGTCAGACTAATCACTTTGTAGTTTTGATAAAATCCTTGTCTTTTCCTATGGATTGAATGTGCTAACAACCAGTTAGAGACAGAAACGTTTGTTTCTAAAGTCATTCTGTCGACTTGATAAATTTTCAGTGGTTTATGATAACGGCAACTTCATAAAACAGATATCTGAAGTCAGACAGATAGTTCTTCAGTATGCTATGCGATCGAACAGTTACGTTTCTCTCTCTGTGATAGTTGAGTGGAGAAAAGTTTTTTTAAGGCGATTCATTTTCTACAGTTTAAACTCGTAGTGTCTGCTATAACTTCTGATATATATGTTGCAACGTAAAGCATGAGATAAATGCTTAGGTAACGAGTATTGACTGACTGATTTAATAAAGTGACTGATAATGTGGCCGGATGGTGACTGCTCATGGGAACCAAATTCTAAGTTCTCTGTGAATCTGGTTGACTTATTTCCCATGGAGTGAAAAGTATACCTATATACAAGGCGGCTAACATAGTTATATACATTACCAGACGTTGTTTTACAAATCAACACTAGGGTACTGAATTTAACTGAAATTCACCCACTGACTAATGAATTTAAACTGAATTTGGCTACATCGCCGATCTTTAAGTCAGTTCTTATCACCAACAACTTAAAATCCATAAAAAAAAACAACAGTTTGCTGTTTTTATAATTATCGAAAGCCAAATACTTGTTCGCGTTCAGCATACAGGTAATCTCAGCTGGTATGGA